TGGAGACTTATGTTGCTTACATCTATGTATAAGTTTAAGTTTTGATAATTTTGAGTCTTAAAAAAAAAAAAATCAATTGACAATTCTTCTGTAGCATTGGGTTACTTCTGTTAGCCTACCCATAAATGTTGGTTTAGGTGGCATGCTCTCCTTGAAAATTATGCTTAATATGAATGAAATGTGGGCAGATCTTTTTAGGAAATTTACCTACATGCCACAATTTTTACACGTTCACCTATCTAATACCTAAATTTCATTTATATTATATATGCCACATTAACTGTATATGAAAAGACGCATTTCACAGTTTTTTTAACACGATAAATCATTGTTTTTGAAACTATTTAGGGGCTGCACTTGCTCTACACTTTCACCTTTTTGAGCAATATGTTCACTGTTTTGGAGCCATGCGAATTAGGGAATCTTGGCCCTTCCTGCAATTGGAAATAATAGTGTTTGGGTTCGTAAGAAGCTTAGTAAGCACCATTTGCACTTCATAGTTGCTGTTTGGAGTGATAGGAAGCTTCATAAGCACTGTTTGCACTTTTTGCACTTTATAGTTGTTGTTTGGAGTGATAGGAAGCGTCGTAAGCACTATTTGCACTTCATAGCCATTGTTTGGAGTATAGAGACGTTGTATGCTGCTGTCCAAGGCTCTAAAGCCACTGATTGGAGTATAGGGTGTTGTAGACTGCTGTCCAAAGGCTCCAAAGCCACTGTTTGAAGTATAGAAGCGCTATAGACTGCTGTCCAAAGCTCCAAGGCCACTGTTTGGAGTATAAGGACGCTGTAGGCAGCTGTCCAAGGCTCCAAAGCTGCTGCTCGGTGTCGTAGAAGCATTGGCTGCTGTCCAAAGCTCCAAAACCACTGTTTGGAGTATAGAGGCGCTGTAGGCTGCTGTCCAAAAGATCCAAAGCCACTGTTTGGAGTGGAAGCGTTGTAGGCTGCTGTCCAAGGCTCCGAAGCCACTGTTTGAAGTATAGGGTGTTGTAGTTTGCTGTCCAAAGGCTCCAAAACCACTGTTTGGAGTATGAAAGCGTTGTAGGCCGCTGTCTAAGGCTCCAAAGCCACTATTTGGAGCATAGGGTGCTGTAGACTGTTGTCCAAGGCTCCAAAGCCACTATATGGAGTATGGAAGCGCTATAGGCTGCTGTCCAAAGCTCCAAAGCTACTGTTTGGAGTATAGGGGTGTTGTAGGCTGCTGTCCAAGGATCCAAAGCTGCTGCCCGGTGTCGTAAAAGAGCTGTAGGTTGCTGTCTAAAGCTCCAAAACCACTGTTTGGAGTATATGAGCACCGTAGGCTGTTGTCCAAAGGCTCCAAATCCACTTTTTGGAGTATGGAAGCGTTATAAGCTGTTGTCCAAAGCTCCAAATTCACTGTTTGGAGTATAGAAGCGTTGTAGGCTGCTGTACAGGGCTCAAAACCCACTGTTTGGAGTATAGAACGTTGTAGGCTGCTGTCCAGGGCTCCAAAGTCGCTATTTGGGTTCGTAGAAAGCCACCTGGGAGGAGCTGTCCACCACTGTTTGGGTTCATGGGAAGCCACATAGGTGTTGTTCACCACTGTTTGGGTTTGTAGAAAGCCATTTAGGTGCTTCCCACCGCTATTTGGGTTCGTAGGAAGCCATCTAAGCGTTATCCACCACTGTTTGGGTTCGTAGGAGGCTAGCTAGATACCGCCCACCGCTATTTGGGTTCGTCTAGGTGTTGTCCACCACTGTTTGGGTTCGTAGAAAACCATCTAGGTGCTTCCCACCGCTGTTTGGGTTTGTAGGAAGTCAACTAGGTGCAGCCAACCATTGTTTAGGTTTGTAGGAAGTCGCATAGGTGCTGCCCATTGCTGTTTGGGTTCATAGAAAGTCATACAGGTGTTGTTCGAAGTCCCTAGCTGCTATCCGGAGTTGTAGGGATCACCGTACCAGCTCACTAGTTGCAGTTAGGAGTTGTAAGAAAACTTGGGATCACCTGTTTTCCTAGCTGTTGTTACGACTTGTTCTACTGTTTACTGTTTTCTTCTTTTCTCTGCAATTTATTTAAATTCCCTGCAAATTATATTGTGTTTTGTGAGTTAAACATGCAACAGGAATAATAGCAGCAGATGCACCACGTACACATGTACATTTTATTTGTTGTTATTTATTCATTGCAATTTATTCTTGCTCTAACACATTATGCAGGTACTGAACACAATTTCACTTTCAAATCAAAACCATTTTTCAAAATTAAACAATGTTTTCAAAAAAAAAAAAAAAAAAAAAAAAAAAACATAAGTAAGACGTTCTTTTGAATTTACGGGAGTCCCTCGGAGGATGTAACCCACGGTTGCTAACGAGATATCACCGGTTTAAATGAGTTTCACAACTCATTTAGATTAAGTAAATTCAAAAGAAAAAAATGATACCGGAACGAGGGAACCGTGAGATCCTAACTGGTGTCGCTTAAATCAACTTTAACCCCTCATAATGACAACAAAACCAAAACCTTGAAACATGCATGATACAACCTTTTGAATCTTAGACTTTAGAACTGCTACTTTGACGAAGAGCTTAGAGCAACTTTGTGGGCAGCACGACGAGGAGCTTGGATCAAGCAACAAGAGGATCTTCTTCAGCAATCTATCTTTCTTAGTTTAAACAACACATAGGATTTCGATATAGCTCGCCAAACGCGATGTAAATCTTCATCCTCTTTTAGGCTCCTGCACAGTCATACTGAGCAGTATAAGTCCTAACTCACCTCAGGTTCTGAGGTTGTCGTCTAGAACGAAATAAAACCTCTTATCTCTAGGGGCTATTTGCATAACCAATTATTATGCAAGTGTAAGTCTCAAACGAATAAAATTGATAGGATTAAACATTTAAATAACATTTTCTCTAAAATATAGCCGCAGAGTAGGATAGTTTGGAAAGTCATTGAGGATTCCCCTCAAGATCTGTGACGTCCCCTACCTTTGGACTCTTGAAAGAATTGTTCCTACTTGAGCCACTCCCACTTGTTTTTTTTTCATGTCCTACTGTGCAAAACCTAAACCTCAAATTCTTGAAGACTAGAACCACTAATCATTATCGAGAGTTTTCTCAAGTGACTCCCTTCATTTGAGATGTAATTAACCATAGGAGTACTATAGGGGTTTGCCTCTATAGGGAACTTGGAACCCAGGCAAAATAAATTTTATTTAATTTTTGTATTAAATAGGGGAATTTGTCAGTCACATATAAAATGTTCGCAGACCAAATAAATGTCACAAATCTTTTAGTTGCAAGATTGGGTATGTCGCCGGGGTCTACACTTATCCCTTGGAATGTGTAGTATTCAGGGTATCAGACACAATTATGCAAATTATTGTACTAATGAGATTCATTCGGTCACATTTTCTAAAAAATTAAAACACTACTTTCATAATCTAAACTATATACCTTATATTTAAATTAAATTTTCGAAAACCGTATTTTCAAATAAAAAAGTTGACCGACACTCCACCACTGAAAGATCTTACCGTTGCAAGTTGCGAAGTTTCAAAAACATGTTCCGACGATAGAGAGGCGGGAGATACTTCTTCTGAATTGCCTTATCTTCTCCTACTTAGCTATCTTCTCATTGCCTTCTCTTCTCATCTGTCTTTGCAGATTCTTCTACCATAATAAGGTATTCTTCTTCAGTTTAATGACAACTAGCTTGACCTGTTTGTCCTCTAGCACATCACTGTACTCAAAGATCCGCTCAACCGATGGATAAACTTATCTAGATCCATACCTCCTTCAAATTCTGGAAGATCTATCTTGATGCCAAAATCTTGTTGGCATCCGAATTCTGCTTCTTCTATCAGCCTCCTCCGATATTGCATTCTAAAACAGTGCAGTCAGTATTCCTCCAGATTCTGCCTCTTATCACTGTTGCAAGTTGCAATGTCTTCCCGATGGAACGGGTTCAGCTCCTCGTCCTTCCGATCGCGGTCGAGGGCAACTTCACCATGAGTATCATAATCCATCTCTGTAATCTCTGTTGCAGATGACAGATCTCCCGTTGTTAACATCCCAAGTAGGATTTGGTAGGTATCTCCTCAAGAGCATGGTTGAAGGTTTGAAACCTACGCAAGAAAAGATAAAAGAAAAAAAAGAAAGAATGAAAAAATAGGAAGAAAATAAGAAAAAAAAGGAGAAGAGGGAAGGAAAAGAAAGAAAGGAGAGATGAAAAAAAAAACTTGGCAGACTCAAAGTAACCATAGAATAGGACTAGGGTTAGGCTAGCTTTGATAACAAATGATACCGAAGTTAACCCAAGACGAAAACAAAAAATTTTATTATGCAAAAGATAACTCAGATACACATTCAAGGCTTCAACAATAATAAAAACAAGACTAGCAATAATGAAGAAAGGCCAGGGACATCAGCAACGAGGTAGCTGCTGGCCAGCAGCTGGGAGAGGGGACAACAGGTGGCGGCGACATCGGAGAAAGCAGCAGGTGTGAGTGGTTGCTAGAGGGTGTTGTATGCGACCAGTGGGTTGCTGGGAAGGGTTGGACGGACTGCTGAAAGGTGGCCGACGAGACATGCAGCTATTGAGAAGAGTCTGACAGGCTACTAGGTGGTCGACGAGATAGGCGACTGTTAGGAGGGGACGAACGATCCACTGGGAGGTGCTAAAGAAGGCAGAAGGTGGCTGGAAGGAAGTTGAAGGGATCCTGGAATCGCAGACAGAGAGATGCGGCAACCTGGAGTCGTGGGGATGGATTCTGTGACCTTTTGGAGTCGCAGATAAGGAGGTGGTAGCCTTGAGTCACAGGAAGGGCGACTGCGGTCCGCTGGAGTCATAGACAGAGAGCGGAAAGAACGCTTGTGGAGCTGGTTTAGCCGACCCCCATTCAGAGCCCTGCGTCAGTTCTAGACATTCACATACTTACATACCTGCTCCTATTTGAGAGATTCTTTTGTTTCTTTGTCATATATAATGATAAGTACTTATTCTCTAAAAGAAAGATTAAGAATAGGCATTCTCCATACCCATTATGGTGTCCATGTCCCCCTCGTGGTTGTATGCGAAGAACTCCACAAGGCAAATCCATGTCATCGTAAATCTAAGTTGTACACCAAATATCCTTGAAATGTTAAAAGAACACAAATATCCTTACAAAACGTAAACACTTCAAAGCTCAAGGAAGGCTGTTACCACAAGAACACGGTTCAAAGGAAGTTTGTAATATGCTGCAAGCGGCCCTGTCTAAAAGGAAAATAATTAAAAACTCATTAGTTTTAGTTAACAGTGGGATCATATACAAGTTATTGTAATCAATGCTGGAATTTGAATAACAATGACAATATTAATTTTCCAACAAGTGCAATCCTGAAATAATGATTATTAGATCATCTCAGTTTGGGTTTTGAGGTGTAAGCTATGAAAACCTTCGCCTTTCCTGGCTATAAAAATAAAAGCTTCGTTCGCCATCCGTATTGATTTTTCAAAAAAAAAAAAAATGAATTTTAGATAAAAGACAAACTAGAGATTTCACCCTCATTGAGCTCTATAAGATGGCTAAAAATTTATCATAAGCGCAAGCCCTTCCAATTAATTGCCCTAATTGATCGCATGAGAAAACTTTTGATTAATGCAAAGTCTATGTGCTCTACTAGGGGAATGATGACATACGCAATCAAGATCTATGGCATTGTCATACAAGAAAATCATAGACTATGACTATTTAGTTAACATAGCTAGTCAATTCAACTTGACTATAAAATCTTATAAACAGCTACAGGTTGCATCATTAAAGTGAGCCCATAGAGATAAGGTAAAAGCTTCATAAAAAAGGCCAATTTAAAAGGCTATCATGACCAACAAATATGCTTCATGTTCTACCAAGTGCATGTTATGGATCACAACTCATAAGCTTGGCTATTGAGGAATATCTGAGCTTGGTCCTTCATTTAGGCCTCATTTATTAGGGGCACATCTTATGCATGACCATGTAAAACAAAGGAGTGTATGTTTTGGTGGCTAAGTTCGCCATTAATCACATAAGTTCGAAAACTGAAACACATTTTCAGTAATAGAAGATGGCCTGGGTAGATAATATCATTAATTTTATAACACAAAGATGTTTAGTTTCTCTTTTGTTTACTATTTATTTTGATAAAACTTAATATATGTTTTAGTTATGTAGGTTACACATGTAATTTGGATAGGTTGTGATTGTATGATTTTGATGTTGCTAATTTTGACAGATCTAACACTTGCGCGTTTAAGACCAAGAGAGAAGGATAGTCTCAAAAACAATAAAAGCTAATAGTAAATCTTAAGCCTTTTGCAGAAGAATCTAGTGCTCCAGAAAAACTAAATAAGTCTATGTACGATGTGAATCATAATGTTTTCAAAAAATAGAGCATCCAGGAGGAAATAATGTATGCTTTAAAGGCTATTAAACAGTATTAGAAAGAAAAAGTCTTTTTGTTATACTTAACATTGATTGAAAATAAGTTACAATATAGATAGAAAAATAGAGAGAAAAAAAGGAAGACAATAAAACAAAGAATATTCTCAATCATTAGAATATGTTGCAGCAAGACATTAATCTTTCCAATCCAGCACATTCCTATGACAACACCCTTCCAATCAAGCAATTTCATATGATACAATCTCACTCATATAAATCAACAAAGTTCTAGCTTGCTACAAAAATTGAAAAACTAAAGAGATTCCAGATCCTTGGTAAACATAACCAATTATTCTTTCACTTAAATGTGTTGAATGAATATCACTTTAGCAAAACTACATCCCTGATGAAATGATAATCCATTTCAATAAATTTAATACTTTCGTGCAAGAAGTAATTTTTTATAATGTTATAATTGCCTAATTATCACAATAAAGAAACATGCATTGAGCTACAAAGAATTTTATTTTATTTTTTTACAAGAGTTCACATGATCAAGTATTTAATTTCATCACTAGATCAATACATGGCAATCTCCTTACTTCATCAAGATAAAAGATACCCACTTATAAAGAGACTCTAAGATGAATTGGTTGAGGAACCAGAAATTTAGGAGAGTGAACTCAGAGTAATACACTATTTAAGCCCATGTTATATAAATGAACAAATTAGTTTTTGGAGAAATTATTTCATCATGGAATTAGAGCCCTAACCTAGTCGTTAGTAGGGACTGAGCGTACAAAGATCCAAAACTTCCTCTTCCATCCTCTTTGTCCTCGCACAGTTGGACGAAGCAGTCGATGATGGAAGAAGCCGCTGCGACTAGATCTAACTCAGACTAAAATGACGGGATGACGCCTTGAAGTTTCACGATTAAGTCACGATTGAAGCTACCCAGAGAGGCCACAACTGGAACAAGAAGGCAATGTCGGGATCGTGGCTTGAAGCTTCGCGATTGAAGCTACCCAGGGAGGCCACGATGGATTGCGGCGATATAGTCGCAATTAGAGCTAATATTTTTAATTTAATTATTAATTATATATTTAAGTTGCAATCGATTAACAAAACAATAATTGAAGGGGGGTTTAGGGTCTGTTTGCAGTAGCTGCAATTATTAAAAAACGTTGTAAAACTGTTGAAGAATAATCTGTTAGAATAAAAAACAAGATATTTTTTATTGATACAAAGAGGAGTATATATACTCATTACGGGATCAACTAGAAATGAAATAATAGCTATTACTAGTCATTAAAATATTCTAATACTCTCTCTCAATTTGAAGCATAGATGTTAGTCATGTTCAGCTTGGACTTGAAACCATTGAATAGTTGTCCAGGAAGGTTCTTTGCGATAATATCTGTCTGTTGGCTACTGGAAGGCACAAATGGAACACAAATTTCCCCGGACACGAGTTTTTCCTTAATGAAGTGTCGGTCAATCTTAACATGCTTGGTATGATCATGATATACCGGATTGTGAGCAATGCTAATGGTTGTCTTGTTATCACAAAACAACTATAGAGGAACAGAGACTGTCATATGCAGGTTCCGGAGCATGATGCATAACCAGAGAGCCTAAAAAATTCCTAGTAACATGGATCAAAATTCTGCTTCAGCACTGCTCCAAGCAACCACAGACTGCTTTTGCTTTTCCACGAGACCAGGTTTCCCCACACAAAATAGCAGTACCCCGAGATAGATCGTCATCATAGATAGATCTGACCAAATCAGCACAGGTGAAAACAACAATATCGCGAGACGTGTGGTAAAAAAATATAAACCTAAGCCCGATGTGCCTATTAAATAGTGGAGAATTTGGAGGACAACTTTGAGATGGTGCTCACAGGGGACATGAATAAATTAACTAACTATCCCAACTGTGTGGCATATGTCGGGGCATGTATGGGCAAGTTATATGAGTTTCCCCACAAAACACTGGTAGAGAGTCTTGTTTACAGGAACTGCCTAGGGAACACTAAGAAGCTTTTCATTTGAATCCATCGGAATAACTATTGGTTTGCACAGAAGAATATTATTCTCCATCAAAAGTTCAATGATATATTTCCTCTGAAACAAAAAAATGCCCTGAGATGACCAAGCAACTTCCATGCCTAAAAAGTACAGGAGAGATCCCAAGTCCTTCATCTCAAAGAAGGCAGCATGAATGCATTTCAGAGATTCCAATGCTAGTAGATTTTTCCTTGTGAAAACAATATCATCAACATATAAGATAACAATAGCTACCTGTTGTTGGCGGAAAGCTGGAAAAAGAGTGTGTAGTCTGATTCAGCCTAAGTGAATCCACGACCTACCACCACCTTTGTGAACTTCACAAACCATGCTCGCGGTGATTTGCTTCAGTTCATAGAGGGAATTTCGTAGTCTAAATATTTGCGCCTTGGAGGCAGTGGAGTCAAAGCATGGAGGAAGATTCAAGTAAACCTCTTCTGTAAGATCACCGTTTAAGAACGTATTTTCGACATCAAGCTGCAATAAGAGTCAATCCAGATTCACTGTCAGGGATAAGAGAACCCGAATAGTGTTTAATTTAGTCACTGGAGCAACTGACTTCTCGTAGTCAACTCCGTAGGTCTGTAAGTACCCTTAGGCAATCAACCATGCCATGTTGCATTCAAAGGATCCATCAAATTTAAACTTGATGCTAAAAATTTATCGACATTTCAATGCTTCTTGCCTCGAGGAAGATCAATAATGTCTCAAGTATAGTTTCGCTTAAGGGCATTCATCTCCTCCATGACAGTAGCTTTCCAGGCTAGGTCTGCTAAAACAGCCTCAATAGTAGATGGAAGTTGATGATTTGTCAGGGTCATAGCAAATGATCTATAGTTTGACGATAATTTGTGAAAGAAGAAATAGTTTGCCCCAGGATAGAGAGAATATATCCGATTGCAAACCTTACTAGGAGAACTGACTTCCTAATTTTGAGTCAGAGCAATGTTGGGATGTCATCCGATAGGGATTCAGGGTCCAACAAGGTGTTAGCAAGTTCCTTAGTAGGTGCATCAAAATGAGTGTATTGGGTGTAGAGACGGAGATTGAGACGGTGTGCAGGTAAAATCAGAGGAACAGAGGGCTCTTTGGTGGTAGGAGAGATGGGTGGAACAAAAGGGACCAAAGGTTCCTCAATTGTAGGTGACTTGGGAGGAACATCCACAGGAGTAGGGTAAGGAATGGTGTCTAAGACTCTAGCTTCCCCTCACTTTAGGCCGAGTTAGAAAAGTAGGGAACACTTTCAAAAAAAAAAGATGTCATCACTCACATAAACCTTATTTGTGGTAGGTCAAGACACTAATACTACTTTTGCGTGGCATAGCATCCTTAAAAAATCATTTTATGGACCTGGATCAAGTTTACTTTGAGTTGAGGCTGTGTTCAGAATAAATAACTATACACCCAAAAATTTTGGGGTTTAAAGTGGAGAAGACCCGGTTGTTAAGTAAAACAATCTCAAGACGGATAAAGAGATACAAAAGTTGTGAATTTTTTAGGGGACTTTAGTTATGAGAAAAGTGAGTAAGAATGGTATCATTCCATAAGCGCTTTGGGACATTGGAGTGAAACATAATAGAGTGAGTGAGGCTGAGGAGATGTCAGTTTTTCGTTTCGACTACCGCATTTTGTTGAGTGTCAGTACAAGAGCTATGATGGAGGATGTCTTTACCAAGAATTCTCCTAATATAGAGTTAAAAGATTCACGACCATTATCAGTCCGAAGGACTTGAATAGGAGTTTTAAATTGGGTCAGAATGAAGGTGTGGAAGTTTTTGAAA